ACGGACATCTCCAAAGCTGCCACCACACAACTATGGTGCCTTTGCTGTTCACCTCGGGGAGCAGCTTGCGTAGCGGCCTCCTCACTTCCCACGTGCTGCTGATGAACATGGGCATCACTCGCAGCAGCTCCTCTTTGTCCTCCTCGTGGATGACAGGGATCGTCTCCAGAATAAGCTGCATTTGTTCCAGCTCATGCCCACCTAAACAAGCAAAAACAGAAAAAAAATCCCAGCGACTGCTGTTGGGAGAGATTTTTTTTTAATCTTTCTCCTTGAAGACGCTTTTCTCCCCATTCTCCTGAACATCCCCCAGAAGAAGGTTGCAGTCAGGGACGAGGCAGAAGCAGTCGCGCTGGCGGAGCGGAGCGCAGCCAAGTGCCTAATTAATGAAGGTTAATCCTATTCTTTAGCACAGTATTGAATTTGACCAAGAGCTCTGCAGGCAATTTCCAGCTTCCTATGTGTACAAAGAAGCTGCCTGGCATAAATACCAGCGGCGTTATCGATCTTCCGTCCACCAGCAGCGCCGGGTATAAATATTCTGTCCCCCGAGCCGGGACTGTCCATTAAGACCGTGAGCTGTGCAGAGCAGAGGAACCAAGGAGGATTTTCACGCTATCACGTACGTTCCTTGCTGTCTGACTGACCCTTTTCCAGCAGCTTCACTCACCAGCAGTGTGTGGGTGACCTGTGCAAGAGGAACGAGCCTCCTCATCGGGAGAAATCGCATTGAGAAAACAGAATTTTGAGGAACAGTGAAACTAGAGATGACGAATAGGGAAAAAATGTTTCCCTTTCTCAGGCTGATTCCCAAACTGGGATCGAAATGATTGAAAAACACAGGAACAAGACGCGAGGCATTGTTATCACACTAGGGGTTTACAAGCTTCACGTGTGTGGTGCTGAAAGCAAATTCTCCCCCTAGGCTTGTAGGCAAGTCTAGCATGAACACCCAAGCCCTGACAGACCTCCCTGTGTCCCACTGATCTCATGGAGAACGTCACCATATGGCTGCTGTGGCTATTCCCACCGAGGCCTTCAAGGACAGGAGGCTCTTCTCTCTCTCCTATTTCTTTCACTGATGCTGCTTTCGGATATGTGAATGCCAGTAGAGGGGAGGGAAGCACTGGAGGGAGCTGTGAAGCACTTTGTGTTGGTGCAGAAGGCAGCAGAAAACAGAGAGCCGAGCGGCTCCCGAGCTCCCCAGCCCCGAGCAGCTCCCCGAGCATCGCGCCCGTCCGGCCCGCGCTGCAGCGGCTGCCAGGGCAGCCCATGGCAGCGCTCGGATCTTACAAAACTGTCACATTCTCAGGCCTCTGTTCTGCAGGAAGAAGCTCTGCAAACCGCAGCTCTCCGGCCAGAGGGCCTCCCCTCTCAGACAACATGGGTGCATTGCCCCATTCTGGGGCTCCTGAGCAGCTCGTTTTTATTTATGGGTATTGAAGTAGGTCTGAAGAAATGGGCTTCCAATAAAAACGCTACAGACCATTCTTAAAAGAAACCCCAAAAGGATTACATGGTTTTGCTGCTCCAGTTTGGATCTCTACCCATTAACTGGGTCCCCTGCCATCACCCGAGGGCTTGTTCTGCCCTTGCGAACTAGTGGAAAGCAGAGAAGGGATGACGCAGGGAGCACCTCCCTCCCGATCTTCGCTTTTCCGCGGCCTCTCGCACAGCCGGCAGCCTCCCTGTGCGTCCCCCCGGCAGGGCTGCAGCACTGTGCAATACCGACCTGCACCTCTGACTACTGCTGTTTACAGCAGCGAGGAAAAATACGTATTTCGAACACCCGCTCAATCTCAGCTGAAGCAGATACCTAAGAGACGCAGAGGAATCGCGTCCCGCAACTGACCTCCTCTCTGCTTGCCCACGAATTCAGGGAGCTTTAGGGGATGGGCGAGTTACCTGCAAGGAAGCAGCAGAACTTGTGCTCTGCACGTCCATACGCAGGCTGGGATGGAGGCTGTGTCCCGAGGGGTTTGCTAGGCAAGTTCCAAGGCTCCCTGGGGCTGAAGTGCTGGTCCCCATGTCCCCACCAGTGACCACAGGCACCACCTGCCCGCCTGGGCGCCGCTTCCTAGTGTGTTAGTTTTACCCCCTGGGCTTCGCTCCCCAAGGCCTGATGCTGAACAACTCGAGGTGAGATCTGCCTTCCCTGGGGCTTTAGCAGAGCAGCTAAACAGATAAGTAACGTGGAGAGCAGCAACGCGCCCCGTGCAGCAGTCCCTGAGCTGCTACACTTCGACGTGCCAGATCTCTCAGTGCTCACGATCTCTAAATGATCCCGACTCTTTAACTTCCAGGCGTCACAAAAGGAAGACGGAAGCTGCAAGCAGGAGCCTGGCAGAGCGGCTGCACCACGCGTTGGCGCAGGGCGCTGCAGCATCGAGACACTTCTGAGGAAAGTGCTCCTCTCCATTATTAATGGCGCTAATTATTTATTTACACAACTCTGCGAGCAGCTGCTTATGAAATGTGCTAGATCCTGTCATTGGAAATACGAATGGGCGACGGCAGCAATAACGAGGAGCAGCATCGTGGTGTCTGTGGGGGACGCAGGTAGCTCCCTGGGAGCCAGCTAGTGTCTGCTTCCTCCTTGCACAAACCACCCCGGGTCCCAGCTTGGTACACAGCTCAGACCTGCCCCTTTGCTCCCCTGGTTTCATTTTTGGAAATGTGCTGAATAAAGACTTGTTTTTCAAGAGCACCAGAATTTATGCTGTGCTGGTAAATCATACACTCCTTCCTGATGCTTTTTGCCTTTTCTTTACAATCCTAATACCTGCTTGTGTGGGAATCCTGCAGCTTGCCAAATGTGCACAGAACTGGGGTCAAAGCTGCTGGGGAGGACACAGAAAATCCCCCTTTCAGGACACTTCCAGGCACCCGCTCCCTGAAGGGCAGCAGTCACCCACGCAATGATGCCTGTCTTTCTCTTAATTCCTGCTATACATAAAATCCCTGACCTAGAGATAATAGCACAAAAGTCAACTGAGGTACACTGACGTGGCTGAAGAATGAGACCTTTCTGCTAGATGCTAACACGGAGAAGCCCGGGTAGCCGGGCAGTGTTTCAGGGCCCACACACCCCTCTCCACCCGGGGAACGGCTCGCAGCAAACACGATGGAGCAAGTGCATGGGGCTCGGTGGAATACATTTGATTTTACAGGAGGCTTTGACACTAATTCATTTTTACTGTGGCTTTCACAGCTATCACTGAGCAGACTGCAGGGCGATGCAGTCCTGCAGTCCAGCTCTTCACAGCAATCAGCTCCTGGCGAGCTCCTTATCACTCCCCATGTGAAACTGCAATCGTGCAGTGGCATTAACGTGTTCTCCCTCAAAGAAAAGGCACATATATATTCAAGATACCAGTCACAGCTTAGATCCGCTGCATGGAGCACAAACCTCTTAGCACAGAACCATATTATCCTGTTTTCCATGCTATCATAGTCTTGTAGGCATCTTCTCTCCTAACAACAAGCTTCTATTTTTTTGTTGAAAACCCAATAAGAGAAAAAGATTTTGTTGTTTCAGCAGAATTGCTCTTTTATCTTTTTTTTTGGCTTGTGTTTTGAGCCGAACACTGTTCCTGGCACAGCATCTCGCACAGCACAGAGGAGACTCAGGTGGTCCTGGCTGTCCAAGAGAGAGGAATTCCCTCTGCTGGGCCATAGTCCCACCCTGGACAGGCCTGGGTGGCAAGGAAGGAGGCAGGGAGAGACAAACCCATTAGCAACATACTGGCAAAGAGCATCCTTCCCGTGAGCATCTCAGCCAGGATGCAGCTGGCCGCCCACATGTTGATGGCCTTGGTGTAGTTGTTGGGCGAGAGGAGCAGGCGAGGGGAGCGGTACCACTTTGTCACCAAGCCCTCCGAGAGGCAACCCTGGAAGAGCAGAAACAGAGACATCAGTAACTTCGCAAGATAGTCCTTACACCCCTGCCCCTGGCTGCTGAATCTCCTGCAGAGGGGATGAGGCTGGCACACAGAATGCTCAGCGGGAGGGCTCTCGTTTTACCCAGAAAGAAGCCAGAGGCAGATTTCTTTACTTATTTATTTATATATTTCCTCAGTTGCCAAATGTCAGGTAAAGTGGATGCTCTAGCAGGGCTGCTCTTGCCCTCACTTGCTGGACAGCGAGGGCACTCACTGAAACACTGCGTGGGCCCTGGCAGCAATTTCACTTTATTGTAAGAGGACTAAAACACATACACGAATCTACACTCGGTCACTTGAATCATTTTTATTTCCGCATGTTCTTAAGGGCTCTGCTGAACGGGGCCCTGCCTCTAATTCGCCAGTGCCTGAGGGATCACTTCGTCGGCTCGGGCCCTGTGAGCACCACGCTTGCCGCTCCACACTTCGTCAGCCTGCAATTTTCTGCTGATTTTAATGACAGTTAATGCCATAGCCATAGCCCCTCCACAGCTACCAGCTGACTGCAACAGCAAGGTATGTAGCACCTAACATAAAACCCTGAGTGACCGCAGTTCCAACCCTGACAAAACGTAGTATTGCTGCTGAAAGTAAATTGTTAAGCAGCGCAGCGTGCCCGGGGAGCCCCGAGGAGAAGCCGGGCTTGATTCAGCCCTGAGCAAGGTACCTGGCTGGAAACGCTCAGACCAGCAGCAGCCCCGTAAACACAAGCAGAGCTACCCAGCGTGGGCACCGTGACGGAGCAATAAAGCTGAAAACCCCGTGACAGTAACGTTTAATCTCACCGAAGGGAACGGCAGCTAAATGAGAAACCCTGTTAGAAATCAATGGGAAGGGGCAGCCAGAGGAGCGGGATTGAAAACCCACGGCAAATCCACACCATCTATCAAAGAAAAGACTTCAAAAAACGCACTAAAGGGTGGGATAAAAGAAGCGTTAGGAACAAGATGTTCTTTACCAAAGTTAATCCTCTTTCCAAACATGGGAATAAAAAGACCCCACAAAGTTTGGACTTTGTTCTGATTTTGTTCTCATAAAGTCTAAAGATCCAACTTCAGATTTACTGTTTAGAAAATTCCATTTCCACTTGCTTCATTTTCACTTATTTCATTGCTACATCCCAGGTGCAGGTCACCAGATCACCGTGTCTCCTGCTCCAGTGTGGCCCTGCTCCAGCCAAGAGAACTAGCACTGCTCAAGGACAGCGTCTCAGTCATGATTTCTGTTCAGCGAAAACATGGAAGCTTTCATTTTGCTGCCCCATTTGGAGCAAAAACAAATTCAGAGCTGGGGCGCTCCCATGAATCAGCTGTGTTCCTGGCATCCTTATTCCTGGGAATCCCTGGGAATGCCGGGCCGTGCAGGGGTCCAGCCGCCCTCTCCCCACAGCAGTCAGCCCCCAAGGGGCCAGCGACGCTCCTGCAGCGAGCCGAGGAACCACAGCCCTGGCATTAACACTCCGGGCCAACACCAGCACCTTCTGGCATCGAGGGCACGACAGGGTGCGTTTTTGTCCAGCCAAACTGCAAGAGCAGTTAACACTCACAAATGATAAGCGGGTCATAATTTTTCTATTCCTTCCACGCAGATTTTTGTTCCAATCTCCAAATGTGAGAGTTGTCACGCTTTTAATCAAAAGACTTTCTTTTCAAAGAACATCTTAATTTTTGTCTTCTTAAGATAAGTTGTAATTGAGGCTGATTAGCTGAGAATTTATGCTGGTGGCTCATTTGATGCTGCTGTATTGCTGCTGTCATATTATTGCTAATGCTGCTGAATCAGAATGGGCACAAAAGCCCCAGAGCGTTATTGCAGAATCGAGGTTATCAGATCAGCCCCGGCTATTATTTACAGTAATGGAGATCTCAGGATTTATTGGAAAATCTTCAGAAAACAAACTGTGGGGAGAGTGATTTGGGGGCAAATTCCCCCTATCTGGGCCCTCCCTCGCTTCCCATGGTGTTTTTCTTTTGGGCTTTGGGTTTTCTGTCCTCCCCATCTCCACCAGCTTCTCATTTTTGGCCCGTTCACCTGGTGGTTTCGCCTAGGGACCTGCTCTGTGATGGTGGCCGAGGCTTCGTTCCTCATCAGGTGAACAGCGGTGGGCAGCGACTCCGCAGAAGGAAAAGGAGCAGCAGCTGCACTTGCTGAGGCCTGGCTTCAAAAGCAGCTGGTTGCAGTCTTTAAAATCTGTTCAATACAGAGCGAGTTGCTCCATTTCTCCGACTCCTCCTAAAGCAAGCTGTGCCAAGCGAAGGTTACGGGTTGACCATGTCACCAGAGCACCCACAGGGAAAGCGATTTGCTAATTGAGTTAATTTTGATCAGGAACAGCTACAGCATCATCTAATGGCTGGAGGTTGAAGCTAAACCAAGGCGGATTAGAAGTGGGGTACAAATTTTCAATCCTGAGGGTAATTCACCACAAGGAAAAAATCCAGCAAGGGTTAATGGATTCCTTTGCCATGGGAAGCTTTAAAATCAATATCAGATTTTAATTTGTGTGATAAATTCTCCTTTTACTACAGGTGGGGTCTTGGAAACAGATATAATTGCAAGGAAACCCAAGGACTGACTCTCCCAACGGACATTTTCCCATGGGAGATGCCAAGTGCTGGGAACTCAGCAGCTCCTGGTAAACTGCGCTCGTGCTCCCGGCCGGAGCAAAGCAAACCACTTGGGTAGTCCTCGATGGCAAGAGCCCAACACGCCAACAGTTGCTAAAATTGTGGCCTAGACCCTTACAAACTTTTAAGCACAAAAACAAGCTCCTGCCCTGCCATCTGGAAGAGGAATTATTCATTATCTTATGGAAAACCAACCGGCAGCCTCTGCACAGCGTGATGCCGCCAGCATCCTCGTGGAAATCCATCACGATGTGGCTCGAACAAATGTGTCTAGGAGCATTTCCTTCCTGACCCGTATTCCTTCCAGAGCTACGTTCGACTCTGCTGCTGGGGATACATTATCCTGCGATCTGCACAGTCATGGGAGGCTGGCAGGGGATTTAGATAAAGCCAGGTTAGACAAGAACATTAGGTTTCCATGCAGCATCTCAAGCCTTGCACGACGGCAGCAACGCTGAGAGTGCAGCCAGCCCTTATCCCCGTGACCCCTTCCAGTCTGGCTCCCTTCTCTCCTGCCTTCTCACAGGCTGATCCCACGAAGGCTCTCAAAAATAAACAAAGAGCCCTATTAAAAGTTAGGGCAGCAGCTGGGTGGCTACGGCTTTCCTACAGAGCCCTAAATATCCCAGACTTCTCTCTTTACTGCCGCTGCTGCCTCTCGAGCCTTCCCATACTCCTTTTTTTTTTTTTTTTGCAATTTTCAAGTATCGTTTTCCTGCTTCTCCTCCGTGCCTATTCCCAAGGCAACTATCATGTGCAAGAGCTGCTCAGACAAAGTACCGAAGTGATAAATGCACTGTATGTAGCATGGGCATCGAGATCCATCAGCGAGCCTAATATAGAAGCTGAGAAACAAAGAAAAATGATGTTTTTCCCCTTAATCTTTCTATAACATGGATTTTGTGCGTTGTGTTGCTTCGGACATTGGAAAGAAAAACCATTTTGGAAGGAAAGGCGATGGCACTAAGTGCACTGCATTAGCTCCACGTTCCCATCACGGATGCTTCTCGTGTCACGCTAGGCCAGCCCAAGCCCTGAGTGTATGAAGGTGGGTGGGATGACCCAGAACACCTGTGTGGAGCAGGAGACAACCCGGACATGCCCCAAAATTCCCGTCATGGCAGGTCAGCCCTTTTCCTTTGAAAGGCCTCACAGGCTCACAGGATGGTTGAGCCTGGAAGGGACCTCTATAGACCATCCAGTCCAACCCCTGCTCCAGCAGGGACACCCAGAGCAGGGGCACAGGGTGGCATCCAGGCGGGTGTGAAGATCTCCAGACTCACGGCGTTCATTCATATTTGTTTTTAAAAGGCATCAGCAGAGTCCACGGAGGGGCCAAGGTTTACAGGAACAGGGTTCCATGGAAGCCTTGCGGTGTCCCCGAGAGCTGCAACAGCCCAGCAGTGACACGGGCACCACAAAAGCTCCCGGCGCGTCTCTAGCAGGGACACGAGCGCCGTGAGGCCTCCCCAGCAGTGGGCAAAAGCCCTCTGGGAGCCCCTGCCGTGCCAGGGGCTGCGCCTTCAGCTCTGCCCCTCGCAGGGCAGGAGCTGAGAACCAAACACAGCCTCCAGCAGCAGCGACAGCCCCAAATCCGCCGAGGGGAAATAAATCCCAGAGAGAAGCTCCCCACTTGCCAGCGTTAGTGATTCATTGCTCTTTATCCCAGCGTTTAAACCATGATTCTGGTTTCTTTCTTTCCCTTTGCCTGCTGTGAGCTGAGGGTGCTCGAGTGGTACCTGGATATCAGGGCACGAGCATGGACGGCTCCCAGGCAGGGCTGGATGCACCAGGAGCTCCACACAAACCAGCAGCCTCCGGAGAGACACGGACACTGGAGGGAGAAGGAAATGAAGGGAGCAGAGCAGGGTGCTGAGCCCTGCAGGGTAGAAGATACTAAAAGGGACATTGCAGAGCGATGCGGAGCGCTTTGAGGATGAAAACGAGATTCAGGACAAATTCAGTAAAGAGGGGAGCTGAGCAGAGGGAAGCACTCGACCTTTGCTGCGTTTTACATAATGATAAGGATCTTCCGGAGGCTTCGTCAGTACCGATATCTCAATTGCAGCTGCTCCTCTGCTCCCTGTTTGAACTCCACGGAGCACGGCAAAGTGTTGAGACCATAAACAGCGCTGATAGGGGGAAAAAGGGATTAATTTGGAGATGTTCTGGAGGGATAAGCTGCAGGATTAATGACTCCCAGGGGATGAAAAGAGCAGTGAGAAGGAGGAGAAAAAAAGGCAGCGCGGCTGTATGGTGACAGCATGAGCGAAGGCGCAGGGCGAAAGGAGCCGCGGGGGACCCAGGTGACCATTCCCGGGG